GACATCATGAATTCACAATTTAGCAATACCGGGAATCATGTGTTCTTGGGGGGATTTTATCATAAATCAACAATTAATCATCAATTCAACCATAATCAACCATAAATGAACAATTGAAAATGTTTTGAAAAAGAACCCATGACATACATTGAAACCCTAGGTTTTGGGGAAATTGAAAGCTTTGAAATCAAATTTTGAAGAAACTCTATGGGTGAAAGCTACCCATAGATGAAAGGCCACCATACCTTGCTTAAGAATCTCCAATAAATTTGAGGAAGAACCCTTGAATTTGCCAAACCCTAGCTCCACGTCTACCTTTCTTCTTCTTTGAGTTTTAGAGAGAGAAATATTGTTAGGATGATGAAGTTCTTGGGTTTTCTTTTTTATTCTACAAAAGTTACTTAATTGGCGGAAATTTGAGTCTAAAAGGCTTATATACTTACTAGGAAAAGAGTAAAATAATGTGGGTTCAATTTTTGGAAGAAACTAGAGACCTTTAAAGTTTCAACTTAAAATTAACTACCCCTCACGACTTGGCTCACCTAATGCACCACTTGGCTCGCCTAATTTTCCAATATGCTCCCTAAAAGGGCAGCTCACTTAGGCGGCAGATGGGGCCCTTGGGCAATGCGCAAACCAAGTAGGTGATCCCCGACATAGCTCACCTAATATTATAGTAGCTAGGTCGTGGGGGTAGCCCACTAGACAACTCCAAGGGGACATGGGCAACTCGCCAGGTTCGTTGGGCGACCATGCTGCCCCATCGCTAAGTGGTCCACTACAAAAATTATTTTCCTTCACTTTTCCTAAGTGATTTACGCCCTTGCCCTCTCTCTAGATACTTATCCCATTCATTTTAGCTCTAGTTAGGTCTACACATTTCCGTAGTGTTACTTTTGCACTGTCCTCAGTGCACAAATAAAACAAAGTATAAAGATAGGAATACTCCCTCAGGCCTCTAGGCCTCTTCGTCATCGCGACCTCCATTGAATACCATTAAGGCGTTATCATCATCCTGCACACCATCATCCTCCTCATCGTCATCCATCGCCTCATCTGCAGTGGCCTTATCATCATCAAAAGGTTCCTGAAAAGTTGGCCCAGTCCTGCAAAGAAAGGTTGCTCTGTCTGTTAAAGGGTAGCGATCTGCCAAAGTCTCCATCTCCACATCTATGACCGTGCAGCCCCCAATCCTAAGTGTCACGACCCAAGCCTAGGGCCTAGACATGACATGGCAAATGAGGAACCCGAAGGAACCCCAAACAAGCCTCTCAAACTTGTCATCACACTTCATCGGTCGCGGAAGTACATTCAACATTAATTAACGGGAAATAGGGACTAAGGGAAAACCATTTCAAAATGACATCATAGAACAAGAGTCAAGCTCATTTACAAAATACTTGTCCAATGCACACCTCTACATACATAGATAGGACGGGGCCATGACATACTACCGGCTCCCCTCATAGTCAAAATACAATTGCAAGCTAAAGTCTCAAAACATAGGAGTAGAAAACATAACATAGCCCTCGAATCATTGAAGACTCACCAACAACTCGGATAAGCACCGTACTAGCCACGTGAATAGAGAGAAGGATCAAGAGTAGCTCCGGTCCCTACATGGTGACATCATGTAGGCAAAATATGCATTAGTACTTGGAATGTACTAAGTATGCGAGGTGCAACACAACAATAGACAAGGACACAATCGAAATACAAGAAATAGTTTCATAGGCATTATGAATAACAATATAAGGATGCATGATCAAAGTGAAGTCAAAACATGTTTAAGTAAATCTATACTAATAGTAGATATCATATGTGTATGCATGATCCAACCAATCTATAACCCCAACTTAGGATGGGGGATGCCGTTCACACCCGGACACCCTGGTGGAAAGGTATAAACCCCTCACATGGTTGATGTTGGTCACACCTCAAGCATCCTAGGTGGTGAGATATAAACCTCTCACATGGTTGATGTTGGTCACACCCCAAGCATCCTAGGTGGTGAGATATAAACCTCTCACATGGTTGTCCGGTTCTTTTCCCCCGGACCGGGCATGGTCATGCAACACTTTATATAGGAAATTCCCATTAGGCTCTAATGCAATCTCACGTATGGAATGAACATATACACAAGCTTAGTTTGTCATCAACACATCTCTGGATTTCCATACATCTCATAACTCAAGCTTTAAAGCATCGATTCATCAATTCTCCATAGTTGGACATTTTGTCAAACACCTTGAAGGCATGTAATGGAATCAAAGAGCATGGAAAATAGGGTAGTAATTATGCAGCCAAACCAGTGAACAACCTACAACAACACCTTTTTAACACCCACAATACCACATGAAAATCTCCACATCCATTCCAAATTTAGGTTCAAGTTCTAGAGTCACAACATGCTCAAAACAATCACTTTTCATGTTTAAAATTCAATGTGCAGGAAATTATTACAAAGAACAAGACTAATTTATGAATCTTAACTTAAACCATGAATTAGTGAGTAGAATAGAGTCTAGGCACTATGGGTGGAAGGACCCATGAGTTCAACACCACATACCTTGAGTTTTTATGAAGGTCTTGAGAGTGTCTTCAATGGAAACTTGGAACTTGGAGCAAGAGTCTCTTCAATCTTGAGGAAGGTTTTGGATTAGGGTTCTTGAGAGAACTTGAGAGAAAATGTGTCTAAGTATGGGAGAGGTGTTTTGGGAAATGTTTTAGAGATGGGAATTGAACTAATGGTATATAGGAAATAACATATGCCCTTTGGAAAAATGGTCCAACACTTAGAAAAAAAAAATGAGGCGGGTGAACAGTAAAAACGCTCACTGGAAATTGCCTTTCCTGCCGGACAGATTTTACGAAAATGGGCATAACTTCTTCGTCCGAACTCCGAATGAGGTGAAACGAAGTGAGTTAGGTAGCTAACTCAAAGGGCTTTCCATGGATATGTTAGTTTCCACCCAATAATTTGTGTGCTAGGAGATATGACCCTCCAAAGTAGACCCTCGAAAAAGGCTTCACTTGGAAATTTCGGATTTTGATACGGTTGCTCTAAAATTTGGGTTAGACCCATTTCCCACTCAATTTGACCCCCTAAACAAGAATATGAAGTTGGATTTTCAAAAAACGAAACGGATTTTTTTATATATAGCTAAATAAGTTTCCGGTAACTTCCGAAGCACATTTTTAAGAACTTTTTGGGTCATTTCACTAAGCTACAGCTCCACTATTCCGAACATACAATCCATCACGTTATAATCACGTGCCTGCCACTCTTGGGCTGATAAGACAGGTCCATGGGACGTGTCTAACGCCTTAGTCCTAGTTACATCTACAATTTTCTAACCAAGTCGGGGTGCCTTGCAACAATCATGTCCAACTCCTCTTCCTCAATTCCCTCAGCCCTCAGTAACCGAGTAATCATCCTCGCATAACAAAATCGCCATCTCATATTCTTCCAAAACTTCATCATATTCTTCCTTAAAATAGCCCCAACATTAATGGGCATCCCCTTCATCAACATGCACACCAACACCACCCTATCCCTCGTCACATCAGTAAGGTGCTTGGACAGTAACAACACACTACACACAATCTTCAACCACACTCTAGCAACCTGATTAAAATTAGCATAATAGAGGGTCGAATGCCTCCCCGTGTCCTTACTTCTATCCCATCTAGCAATAGACTCCACCCCACACAATGTATGACGTATATCTCTATAAGGGGGGTTTTCCTTCAACCTGTTAAAGTTCTCGTCCTCACAATTTGCAGTTCCCAACAACATATTTAGCACTTTAGCAGTACATCTCACATCCTTACCCCGAATTGGCACGGTCTTATTGGAACGGGTTTCAGTGAGCCAATTTGCATAAAATTATCGCACTGGTGTCAAGTTACAATCACCCGGATTTTCAAATATAAATCTCAACCCAAGAGCATTGATAGTATTATAGATAACTGGGAATTGAGTTTGCAACCTTACCTCATTGACGTACTCATCTCCATGATACTTTGCCTCTTTTTGGCACTCAAACTACTCGTGCCCGTACCTTTCTACCGCCTTCTTACCAAACTTTTGAAATGGTTCCTGGCTACTTGAAGACCCGGAGGCTTCTCCTTTCTGATATCTCTTAGAACCCGCTCGTCCCTCAACATTCTTGGATTTTGGTGCCATTTGTACCTACTAGAAGAAGAAATAATGGAGAAAAGAAAAAAAATAGAATAAAAAGGGGGGGTCGGGTTGGGCAGTGTGGAGGGGAAGGAAGAAACAAAAATTCTAAAGAGAGGAAGGAATTAGAGTGAGAAAATTCTAGGGGGAGAAAGAGTGAGGAATGGGGTTAGGTTTATATGGTGGGTTGTGGGGGAATGAGAGGTTAAGAAGATGGAGAGTTGGGTTTAAATAGAGGAAGTTGGGAGGTTGAAGAAAAAGAGTTGTAGAAGGAAAAGAATAAGAACTTGGAGATTTGAGGGATTTTGAAGAGTGGGTCGGTTGGGGTTCTGGAGAATGGGGGATGAATGTTTTAATTTGAGGGAGGTAAGGAGTTAAGAATGGTTTTTGGTCGGGTTGAATCCTGAATGGGTTGACCCATCTGCGCTCAAGCGTGTTATTGGAGCGAGGCGCCATCACTGCGCCACCAAGGCGCGTCTGTAGGATTCCCCCTAGAGCGATGCGCCTACCAGTGTGCCAGGTAGGTTACTATGTAGTTCACGGCCTGGCACAGCGCGCCTGCCAGTGCGCCTGCCAGTGCGCCAGGTGTAAACCTTTTTTATTTTTTGTTTTCCACTATTACAAACTAAGTTACAATAATGAAAAATCCTATCTAGCTAAAACTAATAAATAAAAATACTTCCTAGATTCTACGAATTTAAACTATGCTAAAACAAAAATTCAAAATTTAAAACAAACTACCTATCTATTACATATTGTTCATGGGTTGCCTCCCATGAAGCGCTTGGTTTAATGTCATGGCTCGACTCAGCTTCAATCATTCGTCGTTAAGCTCAAGAGCCTCCCGATCACGATCAGAATCTTCATCAAAGTAGTGTTTCACTCTTTGTCCATTTACCAAGAACGGAGGGCCAGTTTCTCCTTTAATTTCAACGGCCCCATGTTTTGTCATTCTCACCACTTCGAAAGGACCACTCCATTTAGACCTTAATTTTCTAGGGAATAACCTCAATATAGAGTTAAAGAGTAGTATTTTTTCTCCTGGAGTGAATATACGAGGAACTATGTGCTTGTCATGGCACCTTTTTATCTTTTCTTTGTAGAGCTTGGCATTCTCATACGCATGGAGCCTAAACTTCTCAAGTTCATGTAGTTGATTCACTTTATTCCTACTGGCTAGCTCGTGGTCCATATTTAACCTCTTAATCGCCCAATAAGCTTAGTGTTCTAATTCCACCGGGAGATGACATGATTTACCAAACACTATGTGATAGGGAGAAGTCCCTATAGGTGTCTTATATGCAGTCATGAATGCCCACAATGCATCATCCAGCTTCTCAGACCAATCCTTCCTTTGTGCATTCACCATTTTCTACAAAATTTGCTTCACCTTTCTATTCGAAACTTGCACTTGGCCACTTGTTTGAGGATGGTAAGTTGTAGCAACCTTATGAAGAATACCATACTTAGCAAGAAGAAGATGGTTAATGAATGCTTACCTCTATCACTTATGATTTCCCTTGGAGTGCCAAAGTGAGTGAAAATATGCTTCTTGATGAACTTGATCACAACCGTTGAATCATTTGAAGGAAGAGCGACAACCTCAACCCATTTACTCACATAATAAACTGCCCCAAGAATATATTGGTTTCCACTAGATGGCGGGAAGGGACCATAAATTCAATACCCCACACATTAAAAACTTCCACCTCCAGAATGTTACTTAGCGGCAAATCATGTCTTCTTGAAATAGTACCCAACCTTTGGCATTTATCACAACCCTTCACAAAAGCAATAAAATCTTTAAATAACAAGGTCCAAAAGAAACAAGATTGTAGTACTTTATGCGTTGCGCTCTCCTCCATGGTGTCCTCCATATGGGCTAGCATGACCACTTTTAAACACTTTTTGAACCTCACACTTCAGAGTGCATCTTCTCACCACCCGATCTACTCTTTGCTTGAATAAAAACGGTTCATCCCAGATATAGAACTTAGCATCATGATTGAGCTTTTTCTTTTGTTGGGTGGTTGCACCCGGAGGATAATCTCCACTTACTATTAGATTCACAATATCCGCATACCAAGGCACTTGAGAGATATCTAGTGCCATCATCGGTTCACCCGAAAACTCTTCCCTGATTTTTTCACCGTCATGCACATTGGAAAAATCCTCCAACCTAGACAAATGATCAGCTATTTGATTTTCAGTACCTTTTCTATGCTTAATCTCAAGGTCAAATTCTTGGAGAAGCAATATCTACTGAATCAACCTTGGTTTAGCATCCTTCTTATTGAATAGGTACCTAATAGCTACATGGTCAGTACAAACAATCACCTTAGTACCTACCAAATACGATCTGACCTTGTCGAAGGCGAACACTAGAGATTGAATTTCCTTCTCAGTCATTATGTAATTAGCTTGTGCATAATCTAGGGTCTTGCTTGCATAATAGATCGAGTGGAAGACCTTATCTTTTCTTTGTCCCAACACTACACCCACTGCTACGTCGCTTGCATCACACATGAGTTCTAACGGTAATTCCCAAATTGGAGAAATTAAGATAGGAGCTTCAATTAAGTTCCTCTTCAACATCTTAAAAGCTTTCAATCACATCTCATCAAAATCAAATTTCACCTCCTTTTGCAAAAGACTGCACATAGATCTTGCAATCTTGGAAAAATCCTTGATGAATCTCTGGTAAAAACCTGCATGACCAAGGAAACTTCGCACCCCTTTTACAGAAATGGGAAGGGGCAAATTTTCAATAACTTCTGTCTTGTCTTTATCAACCTCTAATCCTGATTTTGATACCTTATGACCCAACACTATCTCCTCTCTAACCAAAAAATGACACTATTCCCAATTTAGCACTAAGTTAGTGTCCTCACACCTAGAAAGTATTTTATCAAGATTCCGAAGACATACCTCAAAAAACATCCCAAAGACAGAGAAATCATCCATGAACACCCTTACAAATTCTTCCACCATATCATGAAAAATGGCCATCATACACCTTTATAATGTTGTCGGTGCATTGCAAAGTTTGAATGGCATGCGTTTGAAAGCATAGGTACCATGAGGACAAGTGAACGTGGTATTTTCCTGATCCTCGAGTGTAATTAAAATCTCGTTATATCTGAAATACCCATCTAAGAAACAATAGTACTCCTACACTGCTAGTCGGTCAAGCATCTGATCAATGAAGGGAATTGGGTAGTGATCTTTTCTGGTGGCATCATTCAGCTTTAGGTAATCCATACAAATCCTCCATCCGGTCACTGTTCTAGTAGGAATCAACTTATTTTTCTTGTTCCTTACCACTGTCATACCTCACTTCTTGGGAACACACTGCACAAGACTTACTCATTTACTATCAGATATTGGGTACACAATTCCAGCATCTAACCACTTTATCACTTCATTTCTCACCACTTCTTTCATCAAAGGATTTAGTCGACGTTGATGTTGTGCACTTGGTTTGTGATTCTCTTCTATGTAGATTCTGTACATATATAATGCTGGACTAATCCCATGAATATCAGCCATCTGCCATCCAATAGCTTTCTTTCTCTGCTTTAGGACCCTCAATGTTGAATCAACCTGTATTTTAGATAAATATGCAGAAAGTATTATAGGTAAACTTTCATTAGTACCCAAATACACTTACCTTAGGTGAGCAGGCAGAGTTTTCAGTTCCAACTTAGGGGCTTCTTCGATTGAGGGTTTGGGTGGAGGCCCTAACTCACGATCTAATGGCTCCACTCTACGCTTATGTATCTCCATGACTGCCAGATTCAAACAAGTCTCTATCTCTTGAGCCTCAGTATGTCCATCTACATCATGCCCCACTAACAGTCTTTCTAAGGGGCTTCGGGTATAGCTAAATGTGATTCTACTAAGTGATCTACAACCGTAATAGCGGACAACTTTTCATATATGGAAGGCAATTTCAAGGCGCGGTAGACATCAGACACTTCAACCTTATCATGTGCCCTCACAGTTAACTACTCAGCTGCTACATCAATTAATGCCATCCCCGTAGCCAAGAACGAATGTCCCAAACTGAATGGAACTGTAGAATCAGGATCATTTTGGACTACCCAACCCAAGATTTTTATACAATGACAAGGGCATAAGATTAATACTAGCACCCAAATCACACAACCTTAGGCATGAACAGTAAAACTACCCATATATTTTAACTTCTTGGGTACTCTATTTTGAATTCTAGAGTTGCACTCCTCAGTAAGTGAAAATTTTCATACTCCATGAGCCTCATTTTGTTAGCCACTATCTCCTTCACGTACTTAGCATACTTCGGAATACCCTACAAAATGTTAACTAAAGGCATGTTAATGTGAACCTGTTTAAGGAGAGAGAGAAACTTACCAAAGTATTTGTCTTTATTTTTCTTTCTGAGCCTTTGTGGAAATGGAGGGGGTAGTTTCTTTTGAGAAATGGGCGCTCAACATTAGATTTCTTTACTACGTCTTCCAATTTCATTTCTTTATTACCTGCCTCAACATCTCTCCTTATTGGAGCTACTTCCTCTAGTTGTAACCCACTTCTAGTACTTACCGCATTCAGTTGCTTTGGTTTGGGTTCAGTATCACCAAGAAGTTCACCTTGGGGACGCAAGTTCAGAGAATTGGCTACTTGCGTAACTTGTTTCTCTAAACTCATTTGGGACATTTGGATGTTTCTGATGTTCTCATCCTGCTTATCTATCCTAGCATTTATCTTTGTCCGTAGTTCAGCCATGAACTTTTGGAGTAACTCCTCATTAATCATCCCCCCCTTTGGTGCACTAGGATTTGTGCCTTGGTTAGAATTTTGGTATTGTTGCCCAGCCTCTTGGGAACGGTATTGGTTATCCCTTGCACTTGGTTTTGGTTTTGGTTCCCACTCCATGAGAAGTTAGAATGGTTCCTCCAACTAGAGTTATATGTATTACGATAGTTTTGCTAACCTCCACCTCTATGCGCATTACCCACATAGTTTACGAATCTGGGTTTGCCTCACATTGTTTGGTTTGATGAGCTCCACTACTACATACCCCACACCAATTAGCTGTCTGTTGAACCATGTTAACCGATGCTTGGTTTAGGGACATTATTTTGAAATGCATGGTTATATTATGTTGTATCACATCCAGTTTGGCAATTATGGCGGTAGCTTGATCTACATCTAAGATTCTCGCGGCCCTTTGGGTTGTGGTTCTAGGCATTTCCCCCTCATACCCTTGGTTTCCTTCTGAGAGTCTATCGAGTAAGTTGAATAACTCCTCATGGGTTTTTGCTAGGGCTTGTTCACCTGCTGCACTATTAAGAAGTGCACGTGCATTATAATCCAAACCCTCAAAGAACGAGTGAGCAAACCTCATTAGCTTACATGTGGTGTGGGCAAGCATTCAACATTTGTTTAAAATGAGCCCATGCTTGGTACATATCCTCCCCCTGGTTTTGCTTAAAGTTTAATATCTTACTCCTCAACCATGTGGTTTTCTTGAATGGAAAGAATCAACTCAAGAACTTCTTTTCTAGATAATCCCATGTACTGATGGAGTTTGGTGGTTCTGAGTCTAACCACTGTCTGGCAGCTCCTAACAATGCTTATGGGATCAACGCCAGCCTCACATAGTCCGATGAGACTCCATTTGGGATGTATGTATCACTAATCTCTAAAAAATTCATGATGTGGATTTGAGGATCCTCGTGGGGGAGACCAGTAAATTGTCCATTAGAATGGAGGAGTTGTACCATGCCCTATTTTAGTTCAGATATACCCTCCGATGGTGGTTTCCTTATACTAGACGCCACATTGGTTGTGAGTGGGACTTCCACATCACAGACTGGTCTTGCTGGTATGATTGGGGGTACTTCTTGGTTATTAAAATTTTCTTGGTTGTTCACGTTTTCCCGGTTGTTACCCTCATTGTTTTCCTGAAGACCCAACCCCAATTCTCTATGGCTTCTTTGATTAGCCATTTTTCTGTGTCGGCATAAAGTTCTTTCAAGTTCATTGTCTAGTTCGACAAGTTCTACTTTCCGAACCAGATTTGAAAGTCGAGTGCCTGCAATAAAAGGCTAAGATCAAGTTATTAGCACCTAAATATTCTAACTGTAGACTTAAGAAAATCAAATATAAATCAATTTCTAAGTCTCCGGCAGCAGAACCAAAAACTTGTGG